AGTTAATCTATTTAGTTTACTCTTTTCCCCCTTCAAATGCTAGTTTATTTGATATTTTGATTATACTATTGATTGAATTTTATACATTAGTTATGAATTACAATAATTAATATCAATATACACATTTTTTTACTTTCTTTGTAAATTGATTAAGTTGGTTCAATTTTTTTGTCTAATTATTAATACAGTTGTTTTGAAATGTAAGACTATAATAGACATTAATTTTATCAAGTTTGGTTAGTTTTGTATTTATTTTATTTTAATTAAGTTAACTCATGATAAACTAGATTAATTCTTTTTACAAATTTACCAAATAGTGGGTCAAGTCAGATCAATTTAGCTTTTGAGCAACTTGTGATGAGCTAAATCGAGTAACCGCTTTCACATCTTTAGATAATTCTTCATGTCAATTGATTTATTTTTATTTTATATTTTCTAAATTTAAGTTATTTTATGTCTTAATATTTTGTATCAAAATAATAAATAAAAGACTAATATTTAACTTAAATAATCGATTGGGATCATTAAATATTAAAAAGGATGATATTTAAATATCAATTAAGATCAGGTTAAAAAAAATCAATTAAGACATACTTAAAGTTTATAATAGGAGTGTTTGTTGGTTTGAACAATCTAATAAAATTGACAATCTGAACTAAATAAATTAAGTTAATTTAAAATTTTTTATTGGACAAATTCGATTGAAACCAAATAATCTAACCTTAATTAATTTGGATTACATATTTGCATTTTAAAAATTGAATAAACTAAGACTTGAACCAATTAAAATTAAAATTATTATTCACTAATACAAAACTCACTTTTAAAATTGGAGTTTTAAAATTGGTTATAAAGTAGCTGATTTTAAAAGTGACGCAGTGTCAATTTCGTAAATAATGACATTATTTTTTAAATCGACTACCTTTTAACCGATTTTAAAAGGTCTCTGATGCTACTTTTAAAATCGGTTATTTAAGAACCAATTTTGTATGTAGTATACAAAATCGGTTCTTAAGTAGCCGATTTTAAATGTGTTATTTTTAAAATCGGCTATTTAAGAACTGATTTTGTATGTAGTATACAAAATCGATTCTTAAATAGCCGATTTTAAAAATGTCAGAACTTTTTCTCTCTTCCCCTTCATTCCTTTCTTTAATTACTCTCTCGCGCTCTCATCTAAAGTTTTCAGCTTCTCATTTTCTTTGCAAGACTACTGTATCCAGGTAACATTCTCATTCTCTTTTCATGTCTCTAGTTTGCTATATTCTGGTAAGTTTTGAATTTGAAATGGCCTGTTTTGCAATCAGAACAGCCAGTACTGCTATCAGAACCGCCCGTGCTGCAAGCATAACGACTTGTACTACTATCAAAACGACCCATTCTACTTGCAGGACAGGCCGTTCTACCACCAAAACGGCCCGTTCTGGTTGGAGTATAGGTCGTTCCAGACTATAATTTTAGGCCTTTTGAAGAACCTGAAACGGCCTATTCCAGTTTAGAAGTCTAACTTTTAAAATCGATTTATGCATGACTGATGTAAAAGTCTAACTTTTAAAATCGGTTTTTGCATGACCGATGTTAAAAGTGTAATTTTTTAAAATTGACTTTAAAAGTAAAAATAATCGATTTTAAAAGTATTTTTTCCACTAGTGATTTTATTATTAAATTGTTATCTTAATATTAAATAATATCATAATTTTATTAGTAACATATAAGGACTTTAATAAAATGTATGGAGACTACTTTAATAATAATTGTAACTTAAAAAGTTTAATTATATTTAAGGGGCTACTATATTTTTAAATGTTAAAATATTTTTGTTCTTACCGGAGATCAGTCGTAAGAACGATCTGCTGGGCAAGATTGGTGAACCTCCTTCGTCGGGTACGCTTGTTGTTTCAGAGTGGGGGTGGTACCTGCAAAAGAGACTCCGATGCTCAAGTTAGTGTTTGTGGAATATGGATATCGTATAAGTAATGCACGTACCTTAGTGTGAATTAGGGTTTCTCTGGGCCTTGGGCCCGAGATCAATTACGGTCTACTCAGATAACGGGCCTTTGTCTTGGCCGATGTCGCACAACACGTGTCCGATGTCAATCTGCGCTGTGATACCGAGTTTGAGCTCGGCTTAGCGGTACAGATAGTACAACTTTAGTTTAAAATATTAGATTATGTTAGATTACTTTAATTTAATATTTTTTACATTAATTTTTTATTTATACTTGAATGTTATTTATAATATTTTAATAATATATTTTTATTCAAATTTTAAGATAAAATAATATATATTTTATATTTTAAAAAATTAAATATATGCCTTTTTTTTTTAGGAATCCGATTAATCCAAACTAAATTAGCTCATTGTTAATTGAAATGATTTTATTTAATTTAGATTATAATTTATTTTTTTATAAATTCAATTAAAATCAAATCAATTAAAATTTATTGTAATTCACTTTAAATTCGAACTAAATCGGTTTATGAATAGTGTGAGTTGATAACATTTATATATATGGAAAATATAAAATTTAATTAAGGAAATTAAACACTCTCTTACTGTTGTGTTTTACTAATGTCCTACAAAACCTTTGACTTATAAAATTGTGATGTTTACCACTTGAGTGTTTCTTAAAGATCTCCCTAGTGCTATCATGCTTATCGCAAGCTATAGAAACACACATGGAGTCGAGGGCAAATTTTTTAAATATATATTCTAATTGAACTGTTTTTCTTTTCTCAAGCAGCAAAGAACCAATCATGTGGTTAGTGCATGAAAAAAAAAAATCTAATAATGCAGTTAATAAATTGATTTAAAGTTTAAAACCACTTAGTCCGATAAATGTATAATTCAAAAATTTTATTGTCTTCATCTTTGGTTATGAATGGAAGGACACCTTCAAGGGTGGGTTTATTCTATGATGAATAGAGTTTAGGTTAACAACTCTTGTTTTTTCCTTTCTGTTTTTTTTTGTTCTTCTTTCTGTTCTGTTTCCTTCCCTGTGCCGTCGGTTAAGCCGTTGCCTATGGTCAAAGATAAAATTCACATGCATTTACATAATTGTCGCAATGCATGTGGCTTTAAAGCAGTGGCTTTATTGGATGAAAATAGAAAAATAACACTAGCATAATTTATAATACAATAAAAGATGAACTCTATTACCAAAAATAAAAAGGTTAAAAATCCTCTGTTTGGTGTATGTATAGGTGCTTGTATGGTTAAAATTATTTTGAGGAAAGTAGTTATTCTTTATTTTTTTTAAAAATTAAAATACAGATGAAAGATAATTATTTCTCTATAATTATAAACATGAGTTCGGTATACAGAAGTTTGAGTTAAATAAAAATATTATGGACCATAAATAGTTGAAACAATTTAATAGAAAAAATTTTAAAAGTACTTTTATCTTATATTTGAACCAACTCTTTCGTTAACTCTTCCTCTTGTTGCCAAAAGTACAAAACTCCGTTTCTTCTACCCTGCCATGGTATTTAATTTTTATTTCAACTATTGTAATGAGAGGGCCTTTTATTTTGTATCATCCAAACAATTCAAGTGGGATAGAAATTTTAAAGAAAATATTAAAGCACTATAAACATGTTCTTTTTTATTTTAAAGAAAAAAATCGTTTGGCACGTAAAAATCAAGGCTATAAATTATAATAAATTATAGACGCACATTTTTTTTTCTCTCTTTCAAATGTACAGAAGAAAAGGAAAAGACAAATAAACATGAATATGTTTGTATAAAAGCACTGGAAAGAAGGCTATAATAAAGATATGGGTAGTAGCAGTAATATATAATGGCAGCGAAGTGTTATCCTGGTATTCTTTTTTATGGTGCTCGTCAAATTGTCAATGCCATTTTTCAACGCTCTTC